GATTACTATAAAGCAATAAATATATTGGAATACTAACAGTGATTTGTCCATGTCAGTCTTACGTAATAAGTTATTAAGTGCGGGGGTGCGACAGGCGGATACAGGGGTGATTGGCGGCGTGCCAACCCTCTGACGTGTGTGACTGACTGCCCTTATCTCAACTGGGATCCGCATCCGACACGGTTTGCTATACTCTAACCTAGTGAGGTGTAAATCAATGTAATATTTTACATGACCCAACGTGGACTTTAACCAAGTTACTGCCTTGGTTAAAGTATATATACCAAAAAAAATGAACAAGACTACGTAAGTTGGGTTATGTAAGTGTAGATTATTATTAGATATTTTATTCTCCCAATTAAATTTGCTTGCGCTCTACTTTATGTAGTGATAAGGAATAAAGCTTCTACTAAATTATAAATAAATAAAACTACATTATAAATAATAATAATATCCTCACACACACACGGCCTTCTGATCCCGTACCGTGACCACGATTGAGGCGCCGGGGAGTGGACCACCGGACCGACCGACCGACCAGCCCGACCACCAGAGAGACTCCCCTGGTGGCCAGGCGCGCCGCCTCTTTAAAGTTCGCTCCCCGGGCTAGAGTATCATCATAGATTACGTCTAGGCCGAAATTAGGGAGAGCCTGTACTTTGGTAACCAGACTGCTGATAAACATATACCATATACCTCTAAATACATTATATTATAGATAAACTAGCTGCCGCCCGCAGATTTCGGTAACCGTGATCCTTTTTTCGCCCGGTTTCTCGGTCGACGTCAGACTAGGTTATATACATACTATATATACATGTACTATTGCTATTATAATGTTACCGGTTATATTAAGAGTCGCACTTTCTTTTCACTTAAAAATTTTTAGTGCTTAAAGTCGGTCCAACTTTTTTTAAAGATTTATTTTACAATTTTTTGTGTAAGATATGTTTGTAATGAGTAGATAAGTACGATATTGTACCAATAGACCAACAGGCCCGTCAATAAATCGATGTTTTTTTTATTTATTTTTATTGTATTTGCAAAAAATTACATCTACTAAACTGTTGATATTCATTTATAACCTTATATAAATCAACTAATTAAAGATGAAATACATTAGATGCCTTGTCACTTGAAGCCTTAAGTTGCTTGAGAATTTGGGAATCTAAGCAGTAAGCGCTTAGAGCAAGCGCAAGCGCAAGCAGCTTACAGTTACATTCCTATCTGTAAATCGCACTAGCTGTTGCTGGAAAACATGAACTTTCTATCTGAATTAACCCTTAATACATTTTATACAACATTGCGTTGACTTACTGACTTTAAAAAAAATCATTAACAAACTAATAATAGTAGTATTAAACAAAAAACAATTACGTCGTCATTCATGCAACAACATTAACTTACTTCAAACACTTAAATTATCACAATAAATAAAATAATACAGATAACAACTGACTGTCAATTTTCTGGCACTCTGTCTTTGACTCACCAAAGGGATTGATTTCAGTTTCAGGGGTTCGGAGAAATCGATTCGATCGATAGAGGAATTATTTCAAAATGAACGCTATTCGGGTGTGACTCTTAGAAACTCAGGAGTTAGGAGGTTAATCAATTGGTTTTCGAATCAAGTCATCGGAATTGTTGCAGTCTCATGCCTTGAATAGAGTGAATTTTCATAGTTATTTCAAGGTTCAGTACAAATAAAAATAAAAGCAATTTAAACATCATTTAGCTCTGAAATATGAAAATATCTCAATCAATCTTAATAGTTTTGTACGAACTAAGTTAGGTAGCTCAAGTTTAGCCATACTGACGATTTCTTTAAATCATATTCCCTTTACACGTTAAAAGTGAAAGGTTCAGCTCGAAGACAAAGTGTATTCTTACACGATGATAACAAAGACATTACTGTCACTTACTAATGCAAAGCAAACATAATGGACCGCCTTTTACGTTTCTTCAAAATACAACTGTCATGTGCTGAGTATTATATAAAAGGCAGGTCGTGCTATGTTATGCTAACCCATGTGCTTACTGATCAAACATTGTATACGATATGGTTATGTACATGCACCTATGTGCTATTTGGTAAGTCTATACTTACCAAATATTTATAATCCTGCTGAAGCAGGTCGATTTGTAATAAGTTATGTAATGGTAAAATTTTTAGCTGTCCCGAGAGGATAATTCGATCGTAGCACTGTGTCCTTGTCAGGATAGGAAATGCAATAAGTATTAAATGTGTTGTTGTATTGTAATCTATCGCTTAATTGAATCATGGATCTTATGATGATGATGATCACTTCGTTCGGTTCTTTTTTTCGTGGCTCCAAACAAAGAGGGGGGGGGGGGGGGGAACTACCTCAAACCTTTCTAACTGTTCTGTTCTGTTACTAAGATGGTTCCTTCAGAGACAAGTTCACGAACATAAAAGTGTCTCACACGTATATGCTTCGTTCTCTTGTGGAACTCAGGGTTGTGGGCCAATCGTACAGCTGCTTCGTTATCAACATGAAGATTCGGCACACTCTTCTTATTCGTCAAGTTTTCGAATATTCTAATCGGCCAAACTAATTCTCGTGCTCCTTCACTGGCAGCCACAAGTTCAGCTTCAGTTGTAGACAGCGCTACTGAAGTCTGTCTTTTGCTTGTCCACGACACAGGACCTCCTGCGTATCGGCATACGATTCCAGTAGTGGATCGTCCGGTAGTAGCATCACCACCATAATCAGCGTCGCTGAAACCTTCAAGTTCTGGTCTTTTCAGTGTCAGGTATCGTAATATACGTTTGACTCTGTTCCAGTCACTTCTGGTCGGCTTTTCTAAGTAGCGAGATACTACTCCAACAGTATAGGCAATATCAGGACGGGTCGCAACCATAAGGTATGCTAACGCACTAACGGCTTCACGATAAGGAAAGTTAGTCTCCTCGTTGTGTCCTTTCTCTTCATCTGATTGTGTTGCAGACGACTTTTCTGCGGCATCAATCGGCGTTGAGACAGGATTACTGTTAGCCAATTTGAAGCGTTATAGTACCTTCTTGGTATATGCTTCCTGGTGGATCACAATCGTGCCGTCTTTGCATTGATTGATCTCCATTCCTAAATAATAGGACGCAGTCTTTGTCGTAATTTTAAGTTTTGTTTCAGGCTCTCTATAAATTCATCAGCAAGCTATACGCCAAGCAAAAAATAATCCTTGTTTCACACCTACAAAATAATTGTGATGGGCTAAAGTATATCGATAAATTAACAATACATTTTACTTGTGCATGATTTACGAATAAAAAATGCTAATGCCATTGAAGTTTTATCATATTTCATCTCAGTTCTTAGCTAAGTAATCATTACACCGAAGCAATAGCTTCAGATAAGGGCAAAATTTATAATAAAATATAATATTTTTCTTTATTACAGCGTAATCTACTATGTGACCACATCCACTTTACCCATAATTAATTATATATGTGTTAGTGTTAGAGCAGTGTTTTTTTTCCTGATAATCACTATCCAATTTAGATTCAAATGAGATTCTAACATCATCGATACACAAAGCAGCTTGTCGTGATCTACATTTATTCTTATAAAATTGAATAAATACGTGTAACGCAAAAATGGTTTCCGGCAAAACACTAATTGCAGATAGAATAACTTATGTCTCGAAGATGATATATTCATACAAAATTAATTCCTACGGTAAAATCCTAACACTACAACTAACAATGCACTCGCCTATGACGTCATAGGCGGACGCTCTAAGTCGTCAATGGCGTTCGCGACTCGGAAAAGTATGACATGAGTATTGATGTTTTAATGAGTTGTCGATGTTTACTTATGTAAATAGAAACCATATTGTGACAACTTAACTAATTTATATGTATTATTTTTAAATTAATTTATGTACAAACAAAGATAATGACTACTAGTTGGTACCTTGGTAATATGCCAAACAATGAATATATTGAAAAACGAAACCTTTTTTATGTTCTTCAGTTGCTGATGATGTACGATTATATGTGTGTGCAAGACGGGGTTAGATGCTAGGCAATTTACCTGCCATCATTTTTGAAGCTATCTACCTATTTTATTAATTATTTTCTATTCGTGGGTAGTCACAGCACTAGTTGACGCTTTAAGCCGTCAATGGCGCTCAAGGTGTACATATATTTAAAAGTTAGTTTTTTTTTATTAGTTTATATTTAAATATTTCGTGCCAATTAGACTATATCTCAGTGCTTAAATGTGTGATTATGGTAGTCGAAATCAGGATGAACTTTATAAATGTTCCTAATTCTGAAAATCAACATTAGCCAAGTTTTATCCGTCCGTAAAAAATTAAGTGCGCCGGACGCTTCAATGCGTCCTTGGCGGTCAACGGGTTAAAAATGTCACGAATATTCGGCAACTATTCGATATCGCAACCTGTAACCTGGGAAAGGAAGGTATTAAGTGTGAACACAACTTGAGTTGGACGTGCCGGTAATGTGGACTTTTCGAAAAAACTATTTGAACAAAAACAACATTAAAATTATATGGAAGTCATTTTATTATAATAATATGTGTACAATATTGCGATACGTATAATTATGCAGTATGTTGAATCAATTCCAAATCTGTTACAGCAGTCAAATACATAATACTTTCATCTCAAATTTATTTTCTTTGCTGGCACAATTACCACTAACATTCTAGCTAACTAAGTACTGTTTGAACTTAACAAACTGATAAACCGTTGAAGTTATTTCAGTTGTCGAAAACTTAGCCTTAGAGTTTTAAGTTCACAATACAGTTTGAAATAAGTATATGATTTACATATTTACATTTCTATTTATTACCCCTATTATATTATGCTACACATCTACATTGTAATATTGTGATTCCAACGCAAAAGTAATAAAATATTGAACATATATGAATAACTATCTTTCTAATCTAGAGAATCGTGTACAAATAGAACCAATTCAATATAGAATAGCACATAACAATTAACTCTAATTCTTACATAGCCTCAACTTCATTCTTTGCTACAGGTACACTTATAGATGAAAGATCGTTCTTAATATAATCCTGGAAAGAAAAAAACAACATGTAAGTATTTTTTCAGAAATGAGCTTTAAACGACTCCAAAAATAATGTTCTTAACTTTTATGTATGTATCCTGATTTCTCGGGGACCCTCCCTGAGTAATCAGGTTACGTGAACTGATTTAGCAAATTTTTTTTTTAAACGCGTTTTCTTTAATATTATTATTATTCGTTATAGTTAGCCTCAGGTAAGTGAAAAAGATAAACAAATCTTACCTCCTGCGACATTGCGACATGGTTGTAAGTAGTATAGGTATCATGCGCCTGCGCCATCTTGTCCGGGTGACAGCGCAAGCGGTGCGAGCGTAGCGTCGACGCGTACGAGAAACGCTCGTCGCACCACTTGCACGTCAGCGGCTTGTCGCCAGTGTGTGTGTACATGTGTACCTACAATAACATGGAACAGAATAGAGTGCAGGTCTCTAAAAATATTTACACAAATAGAACGAGAATAGAAGAGACAAAAAGAAAGTAGACAGACGTAGCTTTCGAATTTAATTATATTTATGGCATGTTTTGTGCTTTGGCGTTGTTTTTACGTGAGTATGTCACTTAACTTATCCTTAACCACTACTCCACTGTGATGTCTTCGTTATTTGCTTTTCACCAGTTACCGTTTTTTTTAAGTTTTAAACGAAATTAATATCGCACAAAATCCTTCGTTCGGCCAAAACTTCAACGATAGTGACGTTGTTGGCGTTTTGTGAATTCACGTTTAGATTAAGAAAGACATCTATATAGATAACCTTTGATCTGTAATTCCCGTAAATATAGATAATTATATATAATGGAAAAGTAAATTTAAAAGTAAGTTGATGCAGATCAGAGCAAACGAAATATGTATCTATTTTTTTTTTGTTAATGGTGTGGAACAGTTATCAGACATTAACATTACTATATACAGTAAAGTGAAAAATGAAGACAATTTGGTATATTTGATGGAATAAAATTAATTTTAATAAAATGACTGCACTGAAGGAATCTTTCGATCTCCAATCTCCGCGTGGGACACCCAGACAATTTGTTGTGCGATCAACAAATTGTCTGGGTGTTCTTCATATTCATTTCATACATGTGTGTAAGGTCCCCGTGACACAGGATATTCATATATATGATTCTAGCACCTGTAAGAGTTGTCTTATATAAAGAAAAAAAGAATATCTTTAAAAAAAGATTCTACTAATTTACCTTTAACGTTTGTCTCCTCTTGAAAGCCTTATTGCAGTAAGAGCAAACATGCCTGCACTTATCTTCGTGTACGAGGAGGTGTTTGCGGAGCGTACGACGACTGTTCAACACACGTCTGCAGATGTAGCACTCGTATGATGTCTCTTCATGAGTGTCCATATGAGTCTTGAGATTCGAATATGTTTTGAAACTGTAAAAGTAGTTATCTTTAATAATAAATCTTTAACGCTGAAATAAAGGATGTTATATAAGTTAGATAATAAAAAAAACTGTGATTTACCGAAGCTTATAGCGAAAGGGTGGGTGCTTGTACATAAAGCCAATTGTATAACAGACAACCTGAGTAGCGCAACTTCTCTGCGTCGCTCAAAAGGAATACATTCCCCGTTTTTGGTAACATTTTTCATTGATCCTCCGCCCTTATGTTATATAGCCTATAAGCCTTCCTTGATGAATAGGCTATCTAGCATGCAGCATGCAGCATGAGATTAGCGTGTTTAACTAATATTAGAATAGATTCATACCGTTTAGAACATTTTCTGCACACGAAAGGTTTCTCGTCGCTGTGTATGGCGCGGTGCTGTCGTAGCTCGCCGTTAGTGCCACAAGCGTACCCGCAGAGATCACATACGTATCCCTTTATCTTGTCGTGTACCACCCGCTTATGAGATGCTGCCGATGAACGTGTTGTAAATCTGGTATATTACACATCATTAGTGCCTTGAAAGTTTTCGTGAAAACAATTTTTTTTTATTTGATGGATGACACATTTCCAGGGAACGAAACCTCCGAGAGTCTGATCTCACACCCTAGGAGCTAGGTGTATTCTGTTATACAGATGGCATAAGCAGTTCCTCTAGTATAAAATGTATAGTTTAGGCACACGTTTAGTTTTAATTAGTAGTCACGTATACGATCAAATTAGTAGATTGAGGTAGTAGTAGAATTTTTTTCCCAGACTCACTTGAATTTGAGAATCAGTTTAATAATGTAATTAAATAAGTAATCGTTAGGTATCAACATTATTATTCTGTACTGTATATACAAATGTACATTCCTATGTTTACAAGTATTTATTTTCCATAATATGTAGAACAATGCGTATAATCCATCCGCATCATTTGTGCAATCAAATAGTCTGCCATTTAGATAGCAACGGCGAAATACGGAAAATACTTTCACAAAATCTCAAACATGACTTACTTCATATTACACGCCTCACAGTGATAAATTTTACGTTCCTCTATTGGTATATGTGATCTTTCGTGAGATTTTAATGCGTCTTTAGAAGTAAAAATTTTCTCACATGAGCCACAACAGAATTTCCTTTCAGATTTTGGTATATGTCTCATCTTATGTTTATTTAAAGCTGCTAAAGTTTTCGTGATGCGTGGACACTTGTCGCACCTGTAAGAGAAATAAATTATACAATTGTAAACAGTTCATACTGTTTCTTGTTTTATGGGGTTTAGTGGGTAAATCGGTTCTCTGAGTCCCACACACGCGTTCCGTTTCCTCAACGAAGGGTATGGTGCGAATAGCATTCCCCGCGTAAAAAAGGTACAAATCTTATCATTGTTTATTCATTTTATTTACTCTTTTTGAACACAAAAAACATTTCTAAATTATTCATAAGGAAAATATAAACCTGCACTTTGAAATTGTATTGATGAGAAATGAGGAACAAAATTGACACGAAAAATAAGTAGATAATAAAATCTTTAAAGCGGTTTATATATCGTGTAAAAATTTGTGCGTGATCAGTACACAACTTTTTGAGTTTTTGAAGCGGTTACACTTCTGATTTATATATAGATTTCCTATTGCATTGTGACAATAGGCTTGTGTCCACTAATAACAAATTGCTTGGTTTATAGTTTCAAATTATAAATGAAGAGACATACATAAAAAAGTCTATTTCTCATAAAAGTTAAAGATTATTAATAATTTAAAAAAATAAATTCGCACGGTGTATGCTGTCACGTAACCTATTTTAGGTTACGTGACAGCATACACCTATCAGAAAGTGTTACGTCACGTCACGCAAAACATCATTGTTGCTGTTGACGTTTTCATACAACAGAGCAGGTTATTCCTTATTCATTTTTAGAAACTGTTGACACAAATGTAAACAGTTTTGTTTCGCAGACTGTGACGTCATTCAAGACGCCATGACACTATTCAGCGTTTTCAAGGGAAATTTAAATTGTTTTTTATAAATACAAAATACGTAATGTACCTAAATATTGTTTATTCTTTAAAATATAGGTTTTTTGGGATAAAATAGATATTAAAGTATATAATTAAACAAATTTTCAAATTGACTCAACTAGCCTATTACTTATGGCAGAAAAGACAACATAATGTTTTCGTTACACAGTCACAGTAGTTAGTACAATAAATAATACTTACGCCAACACATTCGGATTCCTATGGTCCTGTACATGTTTATACATGACTGACTTTGACTTAAGTGTGATGCCACAACTACAAGATACTACTGGCAATATCTTGTGAGCTGAGTCACAGTGAGATTTTAAACTGTACCAACTTGAACACTCTTTTTCACATTTGGGACAGACGAATCTGTAAATGATATGTCTATATGTAGATAAATTCCCCCGAAATTTAGTAGCTACTTCAATAATTCAAAATATCGTATATTTAAGCCACCTTATGAAATCTTTTACATTTAAACTTGAATATTTGACGTCTTGCTTTTCATCATCCGTTTCAGAATTCATCTTTAATTTTCTACTTTCAAGCTTATGATCTGATACATGCTTGTAAAGAACACTTTTTGATCGTACTACAAAACCACACAAACAAAATACATAAGGTTCACTTTTATGCTCTCTCGCATAATGCGCATGTAAACCACTCCAAGTTTTTAGTTTTTCTTCACAAAAAGTGCACTGTAATCTAGAAAAAATTAAATCGAATTAACTTTTATTTTTATTTTAAATGTATTTACAATGAGTAATACTATACAATTATTATTATTTTTACATTATCTTGCTTTTATGACATTTATTCAAGTATATGTTGAATTATTGTACTTTAAACTGATATGTGAATTATTATCTTTAATGTTAAAACATCGAGTACTTTAAAAGAGCGGCCGCGAATTGGCTGATTTCTTCTCAAAAGTCTCAACTACTTTATTTAAATATTTTTTTATCTTTTTCTTACAACCATAGTTTAGCTATTAATTATTATGTATTTTTCACTAACATTGCACTTACAATTATAAAAGCAAATCTCTTTGCTTCAATTGTTTAAAATCCCATAACTGAAACAGACGCTAACTGTACTATGTGAAACTGTACATAACTGAAATATGCAAAATAATATAGTGTATGGGACGTCGTAACGAACACTGAAATAGTGTTTTCAGACCATCATTCTGAGTGGAAAATCATTGCAATTGTCTGCCGGTATATTAAACGTTTGATGCAATCAGCTGTCAAAGGTTAAGTTCATTCCCCGTAAGTATCGCACAAAAGTAGTAACTACATTTCTATTCCGTGCAAACAGTCACAACACACACAACACTAGTTGGCAGCTGGGGGGGAGGAACCGCGCGCTTCAGCTTTTTGATTAATTGTATTGCAGTTTTTAACGGTATGCGGTTAAATGTCTGGCTTATTGCAATAAGCTAAATATTGTGGTGATTGATTGATTAGAACGACGCGCAATGATTGTTGATATCGCCGTTCCTCATGATGAGAATCTTGTAAAAGTTGAAAAAGAAAAGCAAATAAAACAATTTGATTTATCTCACGAGATTTTCGATATGTGGAATGTGGATTCGGCGATCATTGTTAGTATAGTCGTATCTGCTTACGGATTGATTGCCAAGAGCCCCAACCAACACCTTAAGAGGATCACATTAGACAGCTGGATCAGGGGTCTGATGCAGAAGGCAGTTCCCCTTGACACGGCCCGTATAGAGAGGAGGTTCCTGTCTTTGGAGTCCTAACCTCCGGTGTCTTGGTCTCTGTACCCAATGTCTGTGGTCTACTATTTTTTATATTTTTAAATGTATTTTTATTATTTTCTAGTATATTCAAAAATTAAATTATTATGTACATAATGTAATAAAGAAAATAATAATGCTCTGAATATAGATACTTTATGCTTGACTGACATAGTTTTTTTTGGACTCAAAATATATTTATTTCGGCCATGGTGTTGGCAACTATGATGACACTCATTTGTAGTGTCAGCATTTTATGTAAAAAATTAAATATAAAAAATAATCTACTTACTTTACAAAATCTTTAACTTTTAAATTTGATTTCTTTAAAACCTGGTTGAATTCCTCTGCTTCTTCTTCTGTTATTTCCTTTCTTTTAATTCGTTTTCTTTTTACTGGCTTCAAGGCTGCAATAGCTATTTTGTCAAGATATTCATCATCAGTATCATCTTCCTCATCTTCATTAGGCTCAATATCAACATCATCATTGTGAATGTCCAGGTCGTTGTTCTCACTACTGTCTGGATAGGCATCTATCACTGACAGTGAAGCATCATTATTCAGTGCACCTGCAATATGTTCATTTTAGTGTAATTTAAAAAAATCTTAAAATAGTCATTTTAGCAAATTTAAGCTTTGATCTTTAGTAAGAGTAAATACATTGCATTTTTTTTTATGGCCAGATGCCATAGTAGTTTGTATAATGGACAGCTACAGATATAGTATGGTATGGTAGTGATTTGGATATAATATAGTAGTGATTTGGTAATAGTACTAATAGTCCCAGAATCTTCATCATTTTTACATGTATTACTATTAAATTTATGCTTTAAAGCTTAATTCACAGATAATGATAATCAGCATTAACTTTAAATTGAATTGTTACCTCACTTCGATCTAACTGAAAGAGTTTGTTCTAGTGAGTGTACTTATGAAAGGTTACTTACTACTGCTGATAATGACAATAAAAACCAGAAATATAGAAAGCTTTTATACCATAAGAAATAAACAGGACGAATTTGCGTTAGAATAAAACTTGAAAATGTAGTAAGTAGAGTAAGATAGTTAAAATGCTTAATAACAAATCTGTACATCAAAACCATTCATAAACAATCTATGCATAGGTTTTATAGAATCACCTTACAATAGATATCATATCTTTTTAATATATAGATTAATATGAGTTGTAAAGAGTCCAGGATGTTTATTTACTTACTAACAATATCTTCTGCAGTGACCTCATCTTTAACCTGGAATAAATTACATAATATAAAAAGCACTTATAAAAGTAGGAATAATGGCTAATGAAAGTACAATAATAGCAATAACTTAAGCATTTTCTACACTATGTACTATGTTTACCTTTAGGAAACATAATTAATATGGTGGTCTAGTAGTAGACTACAGATTTAGGAACTTTGAGCTTGACTCTCACTATATACATGTTTTTATGCTTCATGTGAGTGTTACTCTGTATAATATTGTAATGAACAGGACCCTACCTGTGTCTATTTTATCTGGAATCCATGATATATGCAGGGCTGAGATTGTTTATAGATTATGGTCCTATTAGATGTATTCCCTTCTTTTTGCATAGTATTTGATTTATCTAAATATTCCTTCTTTGTAAAGTTTTTGTTTTAGCATAAAATAAAGAAATAATTGACACTATCTTACCTCAGATTTAATAGGAACTCCATAATCAATTGGCATTTTTTCAAGTTTTATGCCGAGAGAATCAAAACTATCTTCATACATTTTTTTAAGAGTTTCTTGAACCTTATAGCACTCAAGTACAAATAATTGAAATGAAACCATTTTTTCCTCACAATCTAAACAAATTCGAGTGGGTAAAGTGTCGTTATCATAGACCTAAAACAAGGAACAGGTAAGTTTTAAACTTTAATCTTCTTCTAGACACAAAACAGAAAACTATTAAAACTAATAGTTTTGCAACAACTAATAGTTTTATCGTAATGATCGGTTTGATGCAGTTCATATTGAATTAAGTATGAACTGGTACAAGGATAGCACTTACGATGATTTGTATAAAATCTTGTATTAATTTTAATACATTTCGGTTACTTTCATCCAATAAATCCTTCGAAAAATCGTTTTTCTTAGCGCATAAACGACAAAGTTCTTTCATGTCCATAGCCATTTTGACATATATATATTGTTTTTTACATAAATAAAGACAAAATATTTAACACATGGTAATAATAAGTTACATGACAAATAAAAAAAAACCTAAAAATAAATAAAACAATATTTTCAATTTCATTATTAATATTATCAACACCACAGACTAAACAAGAAATGATCAACGCCAATGTTGCCACTGTTTCTAGATAGATATATAGAATAATTAACTTTTAAAAGTAATAGGGGTTAAAGTTTGAAATTGCCGTTGTTTAGTAATAGAGACTTTGAATTGACATAAAACCTTCACGGTTTGGAATTTACATGATACCTTTGAGGTTCTTCTTTTAAAAAATATGCAACAATCGATTTTCGACTTTCAATTGTTTTTTTTTTATTCAGCTTAGACGTGATAGATGGATACTTCGAAAATCCGAGTCATTGTTGAATACGAGTGCTGACGCGGATCTAACGAGGCAGAAACGGCTAGCAATATCAACTCTGCGTTTAGAGAGGAGACTGCCAATAAACTTTTCTTCCCAGGGGGCATTACAAAATGCTTTCACAAAGTTTCTCGAATCTAGATCCCCAGAGTTCTATCGTAAAGGTATAAGTGAACTTCCGTTTAGATGGCGGCAATGTATAGATAATGAGGGTAAATATTTTGATTAAATAAATATGTTACATCTTAAAACAAAAACGAAAATCAATTTTTCAGTACATATCGGCAATTTTATACTTTAACCCCTAATATGATACCGACTTCAGTGTGCCTACTTAAGACTTTTTCAAAGTAGACGATAATGTACGCTTTGATCGTAGAGCGTTTGCTGACATATGCTGGCTCACCTTCACACTGTGTAGTACATGTCTTGCCACAACTATGAACGTCCACACATTTCAAAGCATGCTACGAAGAACAGTTCACTGCATACCTCGTAATGTATATTTCCGCATTTACAGTGACATGATGATGCACAAAATGATGTAGGTATTATTTAAAATAGTTTTCATTACAAAGGATAATTTCAATTATAAAAATTATCTAATAAATAAGTGATAAACTTTTAACAACAATAAAAAAATTTGAGCCGTCGCGGGACATCTGGCACATGTTAAACATCGAAACTATTTTATTTAGTATAGTATTAATGAATTAAAAAAAAAATCTTTTGAAAGGAAATAATAAAAATAAAACACAACAAAAATATACGTCATGTAATGCGGTGCGGCGACAATAGCTGAGCACCGTTACTTAAAAAGTTATTAGTTAATAGCTAAAGCGTTCTATTTCGGAAGATTTAACGGAAGCTAACAGTACCAGCACTATGACCCACGTTCGCCTCGAGGATTCTGATCCCCCCGTTTTCAGTCTGCCATCCCGGTGCACTGCCAAAACAGATGAGCATTGCAAGAACCCGCCTTGTGACCAGGCTGCCCACAGCGGAAGCAAAGGTCGCCTACGGTGACTTTTGCCGTGCACTGATATGTCTCACCGATAGGCACCGGAAGCACTTGCGGGCCGGGCCTTCTTTTTTTTTTTTTAATGGGACTAATCCCACCCACACGCCCACCACTGTAACTCCTGTACACCAGGATCCACAGCAGTGACCCACGAACACACCGAGTTATGACACTCGGGCAGTCCCAGGAAGAAATTAAACTGTCTTGGAACCCGCAACGAAATTAATCAGAAGAAAATTGGAGGAGTTGGAAATACAGTAAATCCACTTCCCTCCTTAGCAAAGCGGGAGACAAAATGAAGTAAAATGGGCATACACCCTTTTAAACAGGGAAGCACCACGGCCACACATATTACGGGTCCTACGTGAGCTATGTTTGATTTCTATAATATGTATGGCAGAATCGCCTAAACGCACGGAAATTCACCCTAGTTGACACAAGATCCCCATAGTACACCGCCCCAGATGTCACCTGCAAGCTATTCAGCATTATATTACGTTCATTATACCAAAGACTACATTCCAAGAGGATATGATGAGCAGACTGTTCATTGTGAGAGTTAGGTGTTGAGCATTGACACAATGGTGACTCGACTAATTTAAATGAATAAAGCTTGCTCTTAAAGTTACCATGACCCGTAAGAAATTGAGCGACACAGTGATCCACCTCAAGCCATATCCTCGACAACCGTTCGCGAACAGATGGAAAGAATTGGTAAAGATGGCGCCCCTTGGATGATTCATCCCAGCGTTGTTGCCATTCGTCTATGAGGTCATTATAGACATCGGGCTGCTGTTGAAGCAATCTTGTAATTTTACCGCGATCCCGCGCGCCCAAAAAATCGCATTCAATGTTTTGTTGTCTTGAATAGTACATGGCTGCACGTCTCTGCACCTCGAGATCGACCGGAAGCACACCCGCCAACACCGGCAAAGCCTCAGTGCTAACCGTCCTATATGCCTTACACAAGAATATCAGTGCAAGTCGTTGGCCTTGTAACAGTTTGCGACGGACAGCGCCTACGGTCGCCCTATCGGCTAATACAGGTGCACCATAGCACATAGAACCTAAATAAGTAGCTCCGTATATGATCTTTAATGTATTAAATGATAGACCCCATGTCGCAGTTGATATCCTTGTCAATGCACAGAAACTCTTTTTAGACTTTTCATTAACTATTTTAATATGTTCGATAAATGAAAAGTTTCTTTCTAAAACTAATCCTAGATAACACACTGCGGTTTTATTTTTTACAGTAACATTGTCAAATCTAATGCTCGTCGGTGATTTGAGGTTACCTTTTAAAAGTAGCTGGAAGGTTTTGTTGGGTGCAAAAGTTAAGCGATTACGTTCACCCCATTGAGATATTAAGTTCAAACATCTATTGGCTAATCTCTCAAGCCCCGCCCTAGTATCAGATTCCACCAGTAATAAGCCGTCATCAGCATACGCGTGCAGAGTACATCCGGATGGTATTGGTATCGCAAGAAAATCGTCGAAGCCGATATTCCACAAGTATGGACCTAGCACCGATCCCTGAGGACATCCCATTGTAAGCGCCTTCGACACAGAATGATGACCAAGTCTTAGTTTAGTTGTACCTTGTGAAAAGTACGAAGAGATAAGGGAATAAATATTTTTAAAGCACCCCCGTGATTTTAATTTCAGCAACAGCATGGGCCACCATGCGTTGTCGAAGGCGCCAGATATATCTAAGAAAATAGCCAGCACGTATTGAAATTTTGTGACAAACTTTCTAACCGATATAACAGCGTCAGTTGTCGATTTACCCAACGTAAATCCAAATTGTCTATCATGAAATTTGACTCCACCTGGCAGAAGCCGGGGCACTACAAGACGTTCTAAAAGCTTTCCTAACGATGGTAACAATGTTATTGGTCGGTAGGATTTAGGATCATCCGGTGGCTTGTCGCCACTTTTTGGTATTATACGAATATTACCGCACCGCCATTTACGAGGAAATATTCCTTCAGCAATGCAACGTTTAAAGACAGTGAAAATCGTGTCACCCGAAAGTTTACAAGCTTCTTTTATCATTTTGTTAGATATTTTATCATCTCCCGAAGCCTTGTTTAGCGGCAAGGATCTAATGATACCGAGAAATTCGTCTGAAGATGGTAAATCAGACATTGGAGATAGTGGTGGTTCGATGGCCCACTGCCTGATCTGTCGGTGATGATCAGCGTCGTTTTCCGGTCGATCGTCAGGTACGAGTGAGTCTAAAAGATATTCTGCTGTTTGTTCTACTCCTGTGGTATATCTGTTATTAATTTTGATGTTCTGTATGTATGCAAGGTCGATTGATCTATTTGCCTTAAATTCGTGATACAAAGGTGACCACGGGCCCTCTCTATCGAGTTTATCAACAATACAAGCGGGCCGGGCCTGCAGGAGTCTTGCTTTCGCCTTCACGAAATCTCCAACCAGGAGGCTTCGTCACTCGGCGACCTTTTGACCTCGAGAAGTCGGGCTCCCGTCCGGACGGAGTCAAGGCCACGTCGACGTGGCCACCACTTTTTTGCCTTCCGTTTTTTTTTCCCCTTCCAAAGGGCGCTGTGCGGAGTCACCCGGGGTTATAACCGCTGAGGTTGCGGTTGGGGTCACCTTCCCCTTCTGTTGTTTGCGAAGCGGTCCACACGTTATCTTTTTAGTAAATAGGTACTGGATTACCTAGTAAAGGACTCGAAGAAAATTAACGAATGTTTACAAGTCCGTTAACATTTATTATAGTTAAGTTAATTTTAAGTTCGTTACTTAACGGATTAACCGTCTTGTGCAGAGTTCCGGTAGCATCACGTTCTTCAAAATAATTTCGATGTTTTACATTTTCCAGACGTCACGCGATGGCTGTATTTTTCATTGAAATATTTTATTTAAGAATCCAAAAACAAACATAAGCTGTTCGATTACTCAACTCAAACATATCTTGACAGGTAGTTAAAGTTAAGTACGATTAAATTAAAAGTAATTTTATTCTCTAAATCATATTTTTTTTTAAATAAACTTTGGGTTATGGAACATGAAAAACCAATGCGCATGATTAGAGCCTTTAATAGCACAGATTTTGTTGATCGATAGAATATAGATATATAATCGAAGATAGATATTATATAGATACTGGAACCCATTTGTATAGAAATCTAGACAACATTAACCGTAATATTGCAATTGAATTCTATAATATAATTTTTACCTAAAAATATTGTGAGTTATGACCAACCAAGTGGGATCTGTACTGGCAGCCCTACTTTGGGAACGGCAGTTTATCATGTTGTAATTTTTAACAAAATGGTTCATATATACTGGCAGCCCTGCAAAAAAGTAAAAGCTCGTTGTGTTGTGCTTGTGCTGTGACATTGTTTGATTGCTACGATACATATTTTAATTATATTACAATTGTGAGTTATGTGATTATGTTTCAAGGAAAACCTTATGTACCTAACAATGCTACAAAAATGTGTGAACGTTGTGTTTATAGTTATTTCTAGTTAGTTAGTTATTTTAGACGCATAAATTTTGACGTTCATCATGGGTCAACAGTAGAAGCGTTATTAAGTTTATATAGCAATGGATGTCCATTCAAAACTTGTTTCATCTGCTAAGTCAGCATTATCTTTTGATAACATCAAATACTATAAGGCGGAAGACAGTGGCTATCACACTTCGTTTACTCCGGGGTCGTTAGAACAGTCAGATCTATCTAGCGATTTGGATGAATCTTTGCCGCCAAGGACGACATACGATGTTACCCCAAACTATCGTCGGTCTAGGTTCGGACCGTTAAAAGTACATAATGACATATCAACAGAAACAAGGCGGGGTATCAAGCGCCCTCATCCAAGTACCGAAGTTGTAAAACATATAACCACCATACCAACACCAACGACATTGCTATCAGGTAAAATTGAAAGCCTAGACGTCAATGAGGATAAAGAAAATTCGTCGGTCTCTATTCCACCTGAGAGTCCTTGTTCTTCAAATAGCAGTAAGAGATACCTTTACAGGTTACAAGTACCTGAACAAATACTATCGTACCCACTGACTCCAATAAAACGAAACTGTAGATTAGGCCCCTGCAGATCAGCCAAGAAACTTGAGTTTTCAACACATTCGCTTTTATGTAAAAAAAGTGAACTGCAACATGTTCCCGAAGAATCATCAAAAATTCAGCTTATACCTATTCTAGCCAGACCTAACCAAAAAATAGATATACTTAGATTGTTGTGCGAAACACATGCCACACCTGCATTAGAAAATATTTTACTGCATCTTAATAATGAGGACACTCAAAATTTTTGTCTTGTAAGCAAGTCTTGGTGTCATATATGGAAATTGTACAGTAGCAAAAAGAAGAAGCGAAGTTTTAAGGAATATTTAAAAACATCTCAAGAAAACCAAGAAAATTGCGCAAAAGAGAGTATATCTAAAACGAAATTGAGAAAAGTACATGGTTGTCTTAGAGATTTTAACAATGAGATAACAGAGAATCCGGTAAATAAATCAGTCCGAAGTCCACCGAGTTCACCAAGATCAAATAGATTCAGAAAGTTCACTAAGGTAGTATTTGTTTTTATCAGGTTCTTTACTTAGGCCTAGGTTATATTGTGTTATTTTGTATATTATTATGTACTACTGTGGCTTTTGCCCACATCAATATCAAAGGTGTTCTGAGTTCCGAAATTAGGTGTTAACTTACCCATATCTGTTGTCCTAGAATGTACTATTGGCATTTAAAAAGTTTCTGGTGCCTGTTGTCAATAGTAAAAAGCACCCCACACTTTTTTTCAAATTAATTAAAAAAATTTTCTATTTTTTAGTTTGGTTTTCTATAACAAGTAAAATAGAAATAAAAAGTATTTTTTGTTTTTTAAAACTTTTTTTTTTAAATTAGTGTATTGTCATCGGTCGTCGATATATCTACAAAGTTTGAATGAATTCTGACTGTTTAAAGTCAGTCAAATCACGCCCAAAGGAGTTGGTTACAAACAAACATACAAGTGAAGCTAATATAAAGTGTGTTATATTATCATATTCGGTCCAGCCATTTAGAAGTTTACCCATAACAAAGAAACAGACAGACAGACAAAAAATATTTAAAGATTTTTTAAGGCATAGGCTTAAAAAAACTTTAAATATTTTTGTCTGTCTGTCTGTTTGTTTGTTAAGTCTATGCCTAAAAAAAACAATATTGCTGTTTAGGAAACAGCAATATTGTTAAATTACATAACTTTTGTGATAGAAAAAAATAATATTTGTTATTTCAGTCAGCATCATTGGATTCAAGACTACAACTGTCATGTGTAAAGTGTTCACATCCTGCTAAAGTAACAGAAGAGCCTACTGGAGAAGAATGGGTTGAGTGTACCAATGTGACATGCGCATATCAATTCTGTAGATCATGTAATTGCACTAGACATCCAGGTAAGAGTTGTTTTCAATATGATCTGAATGCTCCAAGCCCATCAAAGAGAAAAAAGTGTGAATATGCTGTTGGAACAATGAAAAGTAAAAAGAATTTGCGCAGATTATTGTGATTTCATGAAACATTCCATTTCTTGAACACTGTATAGTTAGTTAAATTAGGAATAGTAAAATGAGTGCCAGTACACTGAAATTAATAAATATTACAATGATAATTGAGATTAAGGGTATTTAGTGCCCATGTCTGATGATGTGCCATTTTATTTTCTCATGTTTGTGTCACAAGTTTCGTTTTTAATGAGCAGTTGGGTCAAATATTTTAACATATTATTAAGTAAAACTATTCAATCAATATCTAATGTATTTAAAGCTAATGATCCCAAGTTGCTTACAGTAAAGTAAGTAAAGGGATAATGAGATCAATGAGGAGAATAAGATAGGCATACTGTAGGTCAAGGTTTTACTATTCCCTTAAGCTGCATTAAAAAATATATTAACTAGAAATTTACGAAGCCGAACCAGGTTTTTAGACGAAATTTTCTAAGATCTTTCTATTCTGGTTAGTTGAGCATGTTTAATTTATTTTCTCTACATTGTAGCCACACTATCCAGTTCATGTACTTACTGAAAACAATATTATAAAATGTGCCATATGCAAAACAAACTCAGTGTTGTTATTCAGTAGTACATTGTATCTTTACGGCTTATCCCAGTGACACTAATATAAAGCCAATCCAGTTTATTATCTACATTGCCATAATAGGTTCTGATAGTAGACAATTTTATCAGTTTATATCGTGATGCAGCATTTGACCCTAGTGCATAACAGGATATTGTATTGGGCATTGATTGAATAGAGTTTAAATTTACCACATATCATAAAGTTGGTGAATATTCCGCCTACAGGTTTTAATTATAAATATTTAGTCACAATTTCCTATCAGTATGCTTGTAGATAGGACTTGTATTATATTTGCTTTTAAAAACCATCACATAATATGTCCATCACTATGTAAGTCAGTAATAAAATTTCTCAGTAGAATAATTGCTCTCTTTTAAATGAAGACGATTTTAGTCAACTCCGTAAATACTCGTTTAGGCGCTTCTATTTGTATTAATAAAATAATGTTGTTTCATATTTTATCTGGATTTTATTACTGCCTTTTCAAATGGGCTGAATTTTAAACTGTACATTTAAAACCCTTAAAATTCTAAAATAACAGCCATTATTACGATCAAACAATATTTTAAACGTAGAGAACAAATTGAAAGAGCAAAGATGTATAACTTTCGGGCAAAGAAGTATAATTTAAGCATTTTTTAAATTTTGAAATACTGAATTCTAAATACACTGTAAATTGTGGTTGTGCAGTAATTATGGTTAAGTGCTGGAGGCATACTTATTTCTATGACCACATGTTTTGGTATATTTGTTTTTTTTTTATAGGGCTGCCTTTATATTTTGTCTTTCTGAAACGGTCCTGATTTAGAGGCCAGAGGACCTTAATAAAACTTCGGTAAAAATTCAGTGCCAATCTATTTTCAATCTCACATCATCATTATCACCATCCATATCAGCCTTTAATAGTCCACTGCTGGACATAGGCCTCTCCTTAGAAAAGAATCTCACAACTAATACTGCATCTAATTGTCAATGGTTTGTTGAGCACAGGGCTTATAAGATTAGAGATTTGCAATATCACCTTACGTAACTCTTAGAGGAAACTGTACCCATTAAAATATTTAAGGAACTGACGAAGTATGAGGTAAAGCTGATGTCAATAGCCGTTGATGAGCGATATTTAAAAGAAAACCAACGCATAGCATTATAATGGCATACGCAAATTGATCGTGATTTTTATCATTTTAATCACTTAGAGCTATTATCACATTGGTGCCTATTTTTCTATGAAAATTTGTTCAACGGGTTTGAGTATTTCAGCTTTATTTCATGTTTCGGGGATTTTTAATAGGCGCTGTCGTCTAAGCAAGATTAAAAAAAATTATGACGTTATGTTAAAAGTTTATGTGGTGTACCTATTTTAAACAAAGTTCCCGTTTGCATTAAGGGTATATGAATTGCGACCGACAAATTCTCTAAATGACCTCTTTATACTATAAAAAAATTTAACATCACATTCAAAATTTAAATAAAATACTGTAGAAACATAAAGGGGAAACTACAACTCGTTGGTCAAGGTGCTATGTAATGGCGCGAAAGGACAGCTGCAACTTTCCGTTAAGCCGCACACCGTATAGCGAGATCTCTTTTTAAAACGGGCTTTATAGGTCTTTGAAGTTTCATTAATTGTTAAAATTTGCACAACTTTCATCTTCAGCTTATATTAAAAAGGTTGAAACATTGGTTTATATGTATATTGTACAAGTAGTTAGCTCAAACACATTCTGAAATTTATGAAAACGACATAATATGTCTAATATTACTTAGTAAATATGTATGCGAATGTCGGAATCTATTAGATATAAGCTGTCTTTTATTATTACAATTAATATTCTGTAATCTTACATCGCGCGTCGTTCCATCTACGCTAGAGTATATAAAGGTGTCACAGTAAAAGTGCACTTTTTCATTTTAAAATAAAAACTCGTATTTTATGGAAGAGTTGTGATATTTTTTTTGGATTGTGAACAAGACATGTTCCGATTAAGTATGGGATAAAATATTCGGCAAATGACAGGCTGGATGACAGGCCATTACTCTTTTCGTGAAATTTTCCATGATATACACAGAGACGTGGCTGTATCTCACCGATGACGCGTTGGATCTCTGATTTGAGCTCAGGAATTACTTCTCGTCTGTTCGCATAAAATCGCATGGCGTTAAATCGCACGATCTTGGGGGCCAGTTGACATCAAAATTTCGTGAGATAATGTGTTGTTAAATGTTTGCTGCAATAAGTCGATTGTTTCATGCGCGGTGTGGCAGGTGGAGCCGTCCTGCTGAAACCACGTGTTCTCCAGATCCATGCCGTCCTTCAAAAAAGTAAGGCCCAATCACGCCGCCTGACCAAAATCCGCACCAGACAGTTGCTCGTTGTGTGTGCTTTTGTTTCTCATGGATTGCATGAGGATTTTCTGAGCCCCAAATACGTTAATTTTGTGTATTCACGTAGCCATTCAGATGGAAATACGCTTCATCGGAGAAGATGACTTTTTTCGAAATTGGCATCGACAACTTTGCTCCATTACCCATTGAACAACTTGCCAGCGCTTAACATGAGCTCTTTGAGCTCCTGAGTTAGCTGGATCTTGTACGCATGAAGGTGAAGGTCTTTTGTCAAAATTCACTGCGTAGTGCTTCGTGACATTTGAAGTTGTTGTTTTTCGCCGACACTCGTTTACAGCAGCAATGTTTTCAAGAGACCGACCGGTACGTTGACGCAAAGGATTCTTAATATAAATACTCGACCCAGTTTCTTCAAATTCTTAACACATTAGGTGCACTTGAAATTTTGGCCAAGTTAGTGAGCGGTTTCAGCGTAACTTTCTCCGTTACATATAACGCGTTTTCACAATTATAGCGTGTTGTTCTTTCGAAAAGCGCTCTATTTTTAATAATCGGAATAAACATAGGTGACAGCTGTCAAATTTCAGAGTTGCCAATTGCGCGAAAAAAAAATGATTCTAAATTTAAAAAGTGCTCTCTTACTGAGACACCCTTTTATCTATAGAGATAATAACTTCATCACTGGTCACAAAAGCGTCAAGAAGTAACCAAATATATATATATAAATATATTCATCACCTTTAATCATAAAAATGTAGTAAGCGCTGCATTGCTGTATTTATAAATAAAATTGTAAAAAAAACAAATTAGTACTGCCGACACAATTGTAGGTACCCGAAAATAAAATATGTTGTTTGTTTGGGAAAGTTTGGTGAAGTTAGTGGAATGCTAAATATCCAGACGGTTGCTAAAAAAAACGGATTTCTTCTTTTCATTTTGACATTACTTTATTATTTCCCGCACTCCCTTTTTACTGTTAGGTTTTGCGTGAACACTTACCAAGAAAATTTGATGATTTATCGACCGTGGCAAGAAGAAAATAAATGTTAATTTGGTAGATTTAAAGTAATTGGGTTACCCTCTGCCTGCCTCTCACTCGTGAATAATAAAGCAATGGGAAATGGCGATGTACTTTTTGTGCAGCAGGAATGATATCGCCACAATTTTTTCTTAAAACATCGTGTGACTGTCGTCATAAATTTTAATGTGTACAATAATGCACGATATTTATGGTGTCCAATATTCTCTAGTGTATACAAAGCAAGTGTCATTGTTTTTTTTATGCTTCAATACTGATTTTATTTTAAATACTGTAAAGGTTTAGCTATATAATTTGCCTCATTTAAATTAAATTAAATAAGACTTAATTTTAATTGTGAAGGTATGTAATCAATAAACATTCCTAGTCGTTTTTAATTAGGTTATGCGAAACTCTCAAGTATAATTTTATTTATGATGTAAAATACTGCGGAACCTGCGAATGTCGAAAAAACTGGGCATTTAGACTTTTAAGGTTTATTTAGTATTTGTTTTATTTTTTAACTTTTTACGATTGCCTAAAAAGAATATACCTAAGGAGTCTAATAGCCGAATAGTTACGCGCTACTAAACAGATGTCACTCAATGAAGCATTGCAATCACTTTTAAGTGACAGTGACAAGATTTAATCTTGGCGTTTGAGTATTCGACCGATAATATACAGATAACATCCCAGTGAATTACAATTCTATTATCAATCTCCTGACTCGAATAATACGAGAAAATATTATAATTTGTTATGTAAGGCGTGTGTTTTGTAAATAAAGTAGTTTTAAAACATATAGGTTTTTAGCTATAGTTCAGCCAGGCTATAGTCTGGATAAAGTATTTCACAGAAAAAAGTGAGCTGTCAGACTCCTAGTGGGACCGAGTAATATCAGCCATTTATAATACTCAATATTTTATTTTTATGGGACTACCAATACTGTGTAATGCGACAACTTTAGCGTAACTGATCTTCATAACAACTATTTTCTGGTTGCGAATATTGATAAACCAGTAAGACTAAGATTGTCGTGTTCTACCGGTATTATATAGTACAAATGCTGACTTGAAACTATATATGACATGTATTATTAGTATTCATTTTATGATGTAAATATTACTATTTTAATGATTACTGTAATTGATAATAAAAATGTTTTGATAACGCTGTTTATTTTCATTGCCTACCCACACATGTAAAAGTCCACACAATACAGTAGATAAATAACGGAAACCAGCAAATAAACATAGGATTTTATTATACAATTATAATTAATATTTACAATAGTAATCAGTAGGAAGCAAAATATTTGACTTATATATTGATCTAAGGCTATATAAATAAATGTTGAAGGCACGTCAACTGGGTTTAGAAATAATTACTTAAGAATAAATCAATATGATGATCTTTGCAAAGGCGCTTTTCCATGACTTGAGTCCGGTGGTCTGATGATTTGTGCATATAATTATTAAAATAGTTTCAGCCAAGTCCCATCACGAACTTTGGTATTTGATATGCCACTTGAGGTAATTGCATTATCATGGACATCCTGAAATCATAAATGATAAAAGTCATACATAGTCGTAAAGTTATGTTCTTCTAGCACTTTAAGATCTGTGTTTTTTTTGGAAGTGTCTTCATGTAAAATGGAATGGAGACTAGAATAATACTAGATAATTATATAAAAACGCGGTAAAGGCAATGCCTTTTTAAAAGACTTCTAAAAAATTAAGAGGTTTTCAATTCGACTGATTTTTTTTATGTTTGTAACCTCAGAACTCATTCATCAACGTCATTTATGAACTGATCTGGATTTTTTGATTTGAAGAGTATACTTCCGCTGGGTTCCATTCAAATTTGAAGAAAATCTACCCTTACGGGTGAATAAAGATAAGGGAATGTAGAATATAATTTATTTTAATTCGCGCAATACAGTTGGTTTTACTTTTGTGTTAAAGTTAATTATGTAAACATGCACTGAGATTCCATTAATTTTTAAGTTACAATACAATACAAGATCTTTTTTACTGAATTGTCATACAACGGTTTGGAAAGCACTTATAGGCTATAGTGCAACAGTGTTCGCTAAGTGTGAAAGATAATCATACCGTAAATAATAAAAATAAAATGAATCTTTTTCGAAATATATTTAAAAAATAATTTACTTTATGCGTGAAAGTGGATTACATAACATGTCACTGACTATCAATTTACTGTGTCCTTTCTTTTATTTCATTTTCTTATGAGTCTTGATGTCGGTTACTCTTTTATTAAAAAGTGATTAACGATAACTAACCCATGAGGTAGGTACTATGCAATACCCAAATCACTACAGATCCCATCATCAAATCTTGACCTGATCATTATGCGACCAATTAGAAGTCTTTCAAACAAAAAAAATAAAATTGCAATTAGGACAGCCATGTCCGTGTAATCGGGTGACATATTGTATAAAAAAAAATTGGGACGAAGTGAGAACCTCTTTTTAAAGAATATCTTCAGAAAAGATTAACTTAAAACAAATATATATAAACACAACGTACAAACATATTACACACACATTAAATATAAAACAAAATATTTCATTGCGAATAATGATATAAAATCCTAGTCATATTATACTCCTTAACTACTCAACGAATTATCAAACTCAAAAAGACTTCACGTATCTCCAGAAAACCCTGTTGTGAGGGTTAGTTTGCCAATGCATTGGCAAAGTAACCCTCGGAACAGGGTTTACATTTTTCCGTCAATACGGAAAAATCTTTGCACGCAAAGCCTCGGGCAAAGAATAGTAGCAAATACATCCCGTTACCGTCACCAATAGTTACTGTTGCGGATATCTGTAACAATATTTTAAGCCTCGTTCTGGCCTACAGCGGTGTAAGAGCGGGCATGTTAGCGTAATGTTCCGATGGCTGTTCCGTATAATAACAACCACTCATTTATGCTGAGACTGTCGATCCCGCCCCGCTGCCGCTGTAGAATAGGACGCGGCTTTCGATGGAGGTGTACTAACCTTATCGTGTGCACGTAACTTAATAATACCGTCACCATCTACTAGACTTGCTGTACAGAAGGAGAGTCACTGTAGGTATATAAAAAAAGTTTTACTATACAATTGTGATTTTTTTTAAAAGCATTAAAAAGACAGAACCTGTAAACCTACTAGGTACGATGTAAGATATGGCCACGATGGCACAGATGTATATTACTTAAAAATGCTGACTTTTCAAGCATTGCCAACAACATTAGCTTTGGGTACAACGCCCAGTCATAGTTGTCTTTGACACTTATTTATTCTGTATTCGTTATATAGGTAGGTACCCTGACTCATTGGTTATGTCTTTTTACGAGTCGCGATTAGTGAAATCTTTCAAAAACAACCAAGGTCAGTATATTAAACACTGCGACATTTAGTGCTTTGAAACCAGCTCTGGGCGCAACATACATATATAAAAACAATAGAATACGATGTCTGTGATAAAAACTAACTTGTTGATCAAACTACATAACATATCTGACCCTGTTTGTCCTTGGTTGCTATATTAAGATTATAATATAGTAACCGTTACCTTTTTTTTTTTTTTTTTTTTTTTTTTTTTTTTTTTTTTTTTTTTTTTTTTTTTAACGCGGGGAATGCTTTTCGCACCATACCCTCCGTTGGGGAAATAAATAATAGTAACCGTTACCTATTTAATAATTAAGATATAGGAACCAATAACCTGCAAATAACAAGCCGAACCAATTGAAGAATAATTAATATTTACAACTTAGGGGTGCCATATTTGGGGGGGGGGTCGTCTACTCGTCTGTAGATGACCCGAGGTATGCCGGGGCACCAGGGACTTCCTTTCTAGGGTATACCTGGTTCCCCGGCTATTAGTACCCGAGACGGCGTGCGGTTTTAGTCGGTTCGAGTCCGACATGCCACCGACAGGTGGTATCCGAGGGGATTCCGCACGGAAAAAAAAAAAAACAAGGGGTGCAATATTTGCGTACAGTACTTATAGTTTAGTAGTAACGCATAGATATCTCGTTGGAGACTGATTACATCTATAGTTATCTACAGTACTACAAGGGAACTGTTCCCTACTGCGTGGAAGTTATGGACACGTAGGAAATGGAAGTAAAAAGTTCTGTTGCACAGCCCTTGATATACTATTAATACAGAGACTCACACTAGAGAAAACTAAGTAAGGTAGTAGCAGGGAACTATTCTATCTATCTACTATTACTACCTAGAAAGCCACATAAATGGGGTTTGGTACACGAGTATTGACTGAAGTGTATGTTTAAACAGTAGGTTTTCAGTCTATTTCGAACGTAACTTGCACCAGACGACAAATCTTAGTGAAGGACCACAAAGTTTGTAAAGTCAATGTGTATAATGGGCCATCAGACCATCTTGTCTCCATTTTTTTTTTACGAGCAAAGGTGTTATACATTAATGTATATTTAATCTCTTAAACGAGAGACTCAGGTAGGTACTTTAATAAGGCACAGCTATAAGTTTTGTTTCTATTGTCAATTTAAAGCGTATGTACAAAGCAGTTTATGAATTATTGTTAAACGTGCTATGACAACTCACGAGACAGACAGGCCATTGTATAGCCAGGCGCGCCACGTCTGAGGAGTGGGCGTTGCACCGTCGATACGCGCCTCGATGAGGCCGCAGAGTGCACGACGGTCATGCGAGCGCCCTGAGCGTGCGTCGCATACCAACCGCTTGCGGCATTCGCCGTCACACGTCCCACGCCGAGGACTATTCTTCCAATAGTGTCTGAAAAAGTACCGAAGACGTAATGGTTAGGTTTATTTGAGGTTACACTGCTGTGCAAAGACTGCACAGATGGCGGAGTGGTTTAAGTGGTCACCGCCGCTTCCTACTGCGCTGTGTCTCACATAGGACAACACTTTGTGTGATCCACAAATTGTTGTTGAGTCTAGGTGTTCTTTGTGTCCGTTTCATTTATGTTTTTAAAATCCCGTTGTTACTTTACAGTTGTTATTTTTTGTTAAAAAAAGTAAATGTTCAAACTAAGTAAAACCAACTAGGAAAAAACTAGCAACTTACAATATTTGTATCTAGTGTAGTTATTGGAAAATAATGCCTTAAGCGAAGCATACCTTCCGGTACCACTACCACAAAGAATATAAAAGAATTTATCCAATTCCAACTTTCAGTTAGTTACCTACTCGTAATTAATATAAAAACCAACATAACTTACTTGTAATATAAATTAAAAACATCCTCTTTAGTTGTCATATCGTCGATAAATTTGTCCCAGTCTTGAGGCCGCAATGCCGACATCATGTAAGCAGATCTAGCTGAGTACAACTTATACCAGATTGGATATCCGAATAGATTTGCCTCCTTCAAATTCATGATCCAAGTTTCATGGTCCACCACTTGCTAAAATTTAAATATATTTTGTTTTATTCTTCTTTGTTATGTATGATTAAGGTCTAAATAATCTAGTCAGTTACACCTATACACATAAAATTAGATTCCACGACACGACGCGACATGCTGACTACTTTGCTTTTAAGTTATTTACATACCATACCTACTACCCTACAGCATAATATAGAGCATGTTGCAAATTATATTTTTGTGGACTATTTCTTAATAGATTTAATTAACTCAAAAGTGATTAGGTAACTCAACTCAATTAGGTTGGATATTATCAGGGAAAACCGAGAATAAATATAATAAGCTAATTTAACGAAGAACTATTCATGAGTCTTTATGTGACGAAAGCTTTAAATATTCAACTAAGTTGACTAGCCAGAAGGCTATTCAACTTAGCACCGAATATATCAACTCGGGAGAGTTCCTTATGTCAGATTTATAAATGAGGTTCCTTACTAATTAGGTATAACTGATAGTTTCACATATAGATATGTACAAAAAGTGCACTACGAAGCTTTGTTTCATGTCCAAATCTATAAGACTGCACTAATTCTGTTCATAGGTGCTTAACAGTAATCATTTACTTACTCGAGTAGTCGCTTCATGATCCCCATCCACATAATATATTCGATACCCTAAATTCAAGTCGTAATAAGGACTGACAGAAGGTCCCACGTAAGCAATACTTGTTGCTCTGCCTGAAAATAAATCAAAATAATGTGTCATCATTCTTATAACATTGAATACACAAAATTGTTTCTCATTTATTTTGATAAGGTTCACTTACCAATGTCGTGTGGATCATAAAACACTTCAAATTCGTCGAAATGAGTGTGTCCGAAAAATTGTGCCGTTATAGTAGATTCATAGCGATTGACTATTGCATAGTAATTGCGGCTCCATACTTTCAAACAGTCAGAATGGCCCGGCGGTATATGGCCGATAATATGAACCTTTTCGCCGCTGAATTCTGCTGACTGCAATTCGTATATTAGCCATTGAAGTTCCGTCGCGGGATCAGTGCTGTTCATTAACAACCACCTGAAATGACGATATTCATTTTAAAAAAAGTATTATATTTTCTTATATTAAATAACTGATTTAATTTAAAAATAATGATTTAATATAGAATATATATATATATATATCTATATATGTTTTTTTTTTTATATTTTGCTGTCAAAAGTTGGTTTCTTTTCACTTTAAGCCCACCATGAGAGAGCCATATATTTTGTGGCGTAAGTATATACTCGTATTATAGTAAAATTATTTAATAACTACTATTAATCAAAGTATGACGTTTACCCGTAAAGATTCAAAGTCTCACGTAAATAATAATTCATCAGCAAATATTTTATTTAATATCAAGAAACTCACTAGCTTTTGCGTTAGGTACTCACCAGTTTGGGCACGCCGTTATCGCGGCGGTAAGACCCCTTATGGAGAATTGGCTCGAGAGGCATCCCGGAACCCTCTCATACTGGTTGACGCAGGTGATCACCGGGAAAGGATGCTTCGGAGATCACCTGTGCCTGATCCGCCAGGAGTCAAAGCCTGAGTTAGCCAGACCGTGGACACAGCGCTCCACACGCTGGCAGAATGCCCGGCGTGGGTGGAGCAGAGGCGTTGCCTCGTAACGGCCATCGCATTGGGAATACTCTCGCTCGGTACCATGATTGCCGCCATGGTACGGAGCGAGAGTTCGTGAAACTCCGCCGTCTCCTTCTGCGAGCAAGTTATGCTTACAAAGGAGATGGCGGAGAGGGACCGGGAAACGGTTAGAACTCTCCCGATGCGCCAGGCCCGGCAACGGGCCAGGTACCGCAGACGACTCAGGCGCCGGAGGTCGAAGAATGACCTCCGTCCTCCATTAGCGCAGGCCTTGGGGTGGTAGATGAGGCCATCTGTCACCCTAGCAGAAGCAGGCCGGGGTGGTGGCGAGACGCGCGCGCGCCCTTTCGGGAGCACAAAGGGGACATAATGGTTCCCATACAGGAGAGGGTCATTTACACGCCTTAGATGGCCCGAGGTACATCGGGGTGTCCGGGATTTGCTTCCTAGGGTACACCTGGTTCCCCGGCAACTGGTACCCGAGACGGCGTGCGGTTTTTGGTCGGTTCGAGTTCGACATAACCACCGGTGGGTGTTATCCGTGGGGATGTCCGTACAGAAAAAAAAGGTACTCACCAGTTCTTATTATTACAGTAGTTCATATTGAGCGATATAATTCGGAACCCAGGCCTAACAAGCACAGAGTAGAAGGCTCCGCGGCGAACAGTGTGTGACACTCCTGCAGGTAGCCAGCGCCGCCATTGCTCGTCCAGCGCGTCGTAAAGCCAAGCAATGTTCAGCTCAGAAGAAGAGATGTATGGTGGTGGGAAACTGTAAAAAGATGCATTTGAAATTCAAATTTATTATAATTATGATTCAAAATGTGAATTCCTATGGATATAGGTTTGTTTTACAGAATTATATGTTACAAGTATGTGTAAGGCTAAGGGCCTTTTAGGGTATGTAACTAAATATTGTCATGTAAGAAGGAAAAAATATTTTGCAGATGTTTCTAAATATAAGGCAGTCTGCCATATATTCTGTTTTTAATGGTTTAGAGTTATATTGCGGCATTGTAACACATTTCAGGTAATTAATATTAATGCCAATGTTGTCGTGACAGTGTAATTGAACATAGCATATATTAGCGATAAAATATAGCCAGATTGGAAATAACCACCAATCGAAACAAACGGCTGCAACAACGAAACAAACAACATTGCAACACTCGGTTCAATCATAAGTGTCCGGGTTCGGTTTGAGACCGTGCAATTAATTATTGGATTCTATCTGGTAACTCACTACCGTTTACTGTTAATTGAATCTAGTTTACAGGTGTCCCCTTCAATGGTAAATGGTTCGAAAACTTGATATCACATTATAACGATTAGTTTTTAGTATAAATTGTCATCACCTTACTTGTGAATGTTTTAAAGAAGTTTCTAAAAGATGGTTTAATAGTTGCTAGGCTATGGTCCAGAACAGATGTTCTTAAATGGTCTTTAATTAATATGACCTCGTTAGCCATTTGTTCCACGGTTTAATTTGTCTATTGTACCTGTTAACGGGTGACGCTTCATGGTTCCCGAGGGCGGGGAAAATGGGTACGCCCGGAAACATATCTGACATTTGAGCGACAGTCTCCTGAAGTACTTTTAAGTTCTCTTCTTTTGTTTGATTCCATACATCGTGCGGCGGCAAATCACCCGTCCATAAAATGTAATCAATATCCTGAAAGTAGAATGCATACAAATGTTTTAAATTTAATTACTATTTGTTTTTTTTTAATTAAATTTAATCAAAGTGTACGTTGGTACATATCGCACTGCAAAAGCATACAACGCTTCGCGGTCGCGCGTCGCGTCTCTGACATCGGAAAGCTATGGGTCGCCCCGCGACCGACGACCATCATCGCGTAGTCGCATGGTCGCGAACGCTAAGAACCGAATGCTGCCTTAACCTAGACTAGCCTTGAAAAGTAAAATCAAAGTAAGACTATTACATAAATTTTAGACTTTTTTTTCTGTTTCACGCATTTCCCATCAGTAAGTTAGGAAATACGAATTTAGTTATAAACGCGCTAAAGAATTTTGTTAATTCTTTTATTTTCTTTTTTTGTTAAAAATGATATTAATATGATACATACAGTGTGAGTGTCGGCTATGTGTTTCAACATGTGGTCGATGGTGCGTTTTGGTGTATCACATTTGCGGTAATCGCCCCAGCGGCCCGCTCCTCCACCTGGCGTCAAAGCCGGCCCGCTTGAAGCTCGACAACAAAGCGGTTCATTGCATTCAGCATTTGCACCTTAAAAATTGATTATTTTAATGGTGGTAGCAAGTGTCATAAATTTTAAGAAAATGAAACATCCAAATTCATACCTTCAGCATAGTAGGGGTCAAAATGCGTATCAGATATCTGCAGTACTTTGAACGTTGGAGCTTTATCAACAGGAGTATCGAGTACCGTAGTAGCAGGTTTAGGAACAGGCGGGAATGTTACTTCCCACTCGTGGTAAGGATTGTAAACATCACCGCACGCGTCCCCGATTACAAAACTGCATACTTCATCGGGACCAATGGTAATACGTTTTAATACGTAGACTACTTCACTCTGGAATATTTAATAATATCAATTAAAGATATTTCTCATCGGAACTTTAAGAAACTTACTTCAGTCAAAAGATAATCTCACCCCAAACAATCTGGTGATTCCTTCACAGACACGGGCCGATTGGATATTTAGCGAAACGCAGAATTGATAGATCATTTTATTAATTTCATCTTTGCTTTTCCCTAATCTAATATAATGCTGTAATAGACCTGCTCCGGCTTTACAGGCTGTACATGACACTTTAGACATAACAGAGTGCTCCACTTCATAATATACTTGTTTTAAATTAAGAAGTTTTAAGGCCTTATCCACAAAAACCGGTAGGTTAGTGCTCTTATCGTTATCCCACAGAAGTCGGGAATAATTACGTTTTAAAGCTGCCATGTGTGCAATAAGTTCAGTCTCATTAGCAGATGGCGGTAGGGTATGATTAAAGTTAGATGGGACGAAGAATAGTTCTTCATTACGAGGCGAATCTGTCCAATTCCAGTCATCTGTCGGTGGCATCCATTTTATTACGGGTCTGTTATTTCTACCTGTTTGTTTTAAAAATATCGGGTTACCTGAAATGTCATTAATAAGTAAATTTATTTTATAGTTACTTTGAAAACTCTTAAAAGGTTTCGAAATGAGCGAATGTATGTATCTATATAATTTAGTACCTGATGTCAAACTGCTCATTGAAACAGTAAATAGACATTGTAAAATCCATCGTATCCTGATGATCATCACTGAAGGTGTAGGAGGAAGTCCTGAAAATAAAGATAAAGTTATGTAAATTAAAGTTTTGAAAAATATATAGAATTTACATCTATTGTAGGTACCTCTTTGCATCGGCATGTATGGCCTGACTCTTCCAGAGTAATACGACCTCCTCGTCATAGATCATAATATTAACCAATCTTGAAAATAAAATTAAAACAATCTTTGAAGCGGGGTCAATCGGTGCAGTAGTTAAGCGTACACAAACCAACTTAACATTTTATGTATTTAGATGTTCTTCACTTAAAATAAACAGTCACAAGCGTGACACCAAAAATAATTTGCTGCTTAAATACTAGATAAAAAAAATATTTTTATTCAAATGTAATTGATATTTTTAGAGACTAGTGTGTTTAAACAAAGAAACAAACAACTAGCCCTTAGCTTTATTATATCAAATCGTTTTGACTACTGTTTCTCTTTTCATCTACCCAAACGTTGTTGTTATATGCACGCACAGTAAATTATATATATTTTCACGTAGGATAGTATTGGAATTAAATTTATTAGTAATAATTATGTTCCTAGTAGATATGCCTTTAGGTAAGGTAAGCATGGCGGCCCTCTCTGCACTTTAGGTGTACCACAATACTAATTTATTTTAATGGATCCCTTAGTTTCATTTCACCTTTCCTAACCACATAACTCAGACGTGGTTAGGTTATCGTTGTGACTGTTACAAGTAAAACTTTAAGTTTTAGTTTAGATTAATTTAAATTACTCGTCACTGGTCCTCATTATTTGATCACATATTTTCAATAACATCCTAAAGTGAAAAGTTTCGTAAGTGGTGTAAGACCGACCCATATCGGAATCTAAACATTTTTTTATGATATAGGGGCAAACGAGCACACTAGTCCCCTGATGGAAAGTGACTACTACTCTTTGCTTTCTCCACCTTAAAGTAACACACCTAAATCATTACAATGCTTGTAAAGCTCGTTATTTAGCAAAAGCCATTTATGCCGTACAAGAGACTAAAATTGTTAAAATATTCAGGTAACGCAGTAAGTCTTGTCTTAATGTCTTCCATTACCGTTGAAGAAAGAGGTTGTCTGTAGGAGTCGGCGAGAGTAATGTTGGCCAACGCTTTAAACCTCCTCCCGTGGTGGGTGATTAGAGAGGCATTGGTGTATCGCCAGTTGCTCCCCTACCTGCGGGACGGGACATCTTCGGGGCTTATTTTCATGACAGGTTCATATCGTATATGGATCGAGACGACGAAGAAAGTTGAAGGGAGGTTGCAAGTAGGACTCCCCAGGCGCCGGTCCTAGGACCTCTTCTGAACCTCGCGTATAATGCAGTACCGAGAACTAGTCTTCCCCAAGAAGTGAGTGTCGTCTGTTACGCGGAGAAGGACCCAGAGCTGGCCACGGTAGGGTTAACTTGTGTCGTCAAAAAGATCAGTGGTCTGTGCCTACGGTTAGCGCGCCATAAGACGGAATCTCTGTGGTTTCTCGCTCGCTCAATAGCGTAGGGTAAAAGGTGGTTGAGGTTAAAGGGCATATCAAGTATCTCGGCGTCCCCCTGGACTCTCGCTGGATCTTTGAGAAGCTTTTGAGCGGATGTTACCCTGAGTTTTCGGGGTGGCGGACTTCCTACAGAAGCTGCTGTCTAATCTAGGGGATATGCGCCGACATGGGCTAAGCGGCTATCTGCCTCCTCGCGCTGCCGAACTTATCTCAATCAAGCGCAGCGGATCGTACGAGCATAGCGCACTATCTCGTATGAGGCCGTGACAGTCCTGGTACGTTTGGTGCCTTTGGATACCTGGTGGACACGGACACGAGGGTCTATGACCGGGTTTATGCAATCCGCCGGGTTCGGAGAGCGAAGGTTCAGGATGGGTTCGAAAAGCACTTACCCACAGGCACTGATGCAAAGGCGAACGGCTGGAATAGCCGCGGAATGTGCGCCAACGCACTGTTGGTGCCGTTCTGCCTAACCTCGAAGAGTAGGTAAGTAACGAGGCAGGTCGCGTCACCTACCAATTGACACAGGTACCTACTCGGGCATGGTTGCTTCGGTGAGTACATGAATTCGATCGAACGTGAGTAGGCAGCACAATACCAGCACTACGCAGCCAACTGGGACTCCGAACAGCATCGTGAGAGAAATGTTCCGCGTGGGTGTCTAAGCGGGAGGTACTAGTAGATCAATCGGCAATCGTCAAAACACAGTCGGGCCATAACACATAGGTAGTGATTGAGCCAAAGGCTGGGGAAGGCCTGCGGCTCCTCCTATTATAGGACCTAGTCAGGTATGGCGTTGATCGGAGAGGGACCTGAAATCACATGGTCCAGGTCCTCCCAGAGTTGAGCGCCTGAGGCCGGACGTCGGGCGAGTTTTTAGAGGAAACACCACATACTCTTAATTCCTAAGTCTCTAAGGACGAATTAATTGGTCATTTGTGGTAAAGTCTGGAGACATCGCATTTAAAGGAGCCATGCGAGGCCCCCCTAATTGCGAAGCCTTGGGCGAGGGCCCACTTTACCCACACCTAGCTACGCCACTGGCTAAAAAGCAATTTTTTACAGGCAACCTTTTGGACAAATCGACTGTAGTAATAAACAAATACATGAATTAATATTGTTTGCCGAATAAACGAACCTTTTTTTCCAAGCTACTTCGTAAATAGGGACGCTGCGTGTTCTGATATTAGAGAAGCATTTTAAAAATAATGGTAGTGAAGGATACTTGTATGATAGCTTTTATTTCTGATGAATCGTAATAGTGCTTGCATGCAAATTGTTAATTGCACTCATTGTTTTTTGGTGAGGAATTTCCCTCATCTGAGCACTACTAAAGTCACCAGATTGTCAGATTATATCTTTGTGTAATCTCGGTACTATAAAAATATCAGAAGAAAACATCTCCAACTCGTTACTTGTAGCCCATGGTTTTTTATACGGCGTTTAAATTTTACATAAACACAAAAGCGCACTCTCTCTTTTTACTACTCGTTGTCCTCAGTAATTCATAATTTAAGATTGTAACTAGTATATGTATAGTATATACGTAGAGAAAGTTAAGGATTAACTATTAACAACCTACTTCTAAGCTTAGGGGCTCACACCTCCATTCGGTGACACCAATGACCTTTACGATAACCCCTGGTTTACTAATCTTCTTATAAAGTATTTTATATGTAAGTCCACAATTTTGTAAATAGATAACTGGAATATTCTTATATACGGTGTAATAGTAGCTATAGGCAGGCTAAGAGCTACGGATTGATCTTAATTTAACATAAATATAAGATTTTCTATTTAAAAAAAATCATATTATTTTAAACCAAAGGCAACCAGAAAACTGACTGCACGGATGGCGGAGTGGTTTAAGCGGTCGCCACGCCGCTTCCTACTACGCCGAGTGTTGTGGGTTCAAACCCCACATGGGACGTCACTTTGTGTGATCCACAAATTGTTGTTCTGAGTCTGGGTGTTTTTGTGTCCGTTTCATGTATGTTTGTAAAGTCCCCCGCGACACAGGATATATATTCCTAATGCGGGAGTTGTCTTTATAAAAGAAAAAAAAAGAAAAGAAAAATAACGGATAAATGTTTTTTTAGAAATAGATACCCTTTTTTTGTTAACGGGGTGGAAAATCTCGGGGATGTAGGAGGCAAGAGTATGTGGTGCTTCCACTAGAAATTACCCCGACGGCCATATCCCACCCCGAGGAGGACCCGGACCATGTTATTTCAGGTCCCCCCAGATTGACACCACGCCTAGTAAAGCCTTATCCCAGCGAAGCCGCGGCCTTTCCCCGCCTATCGGCATAATCCTTATAATGTGTTGCGGCCCGATCGCATTTTGGTCTACCAGGACTTCGCATTTAGTGAGGGATTAAGAATACGGAATGTCACTACCCCAATTCATCCCGTGGGTGTCGTAAGAGCCGACTAAGGGCGCAAAACAACGCAGGACACCAGCACTGCAAAAAGAAGGAAAACTTGACACAAACCCTTTTTTTTTTTTTTTTTTTTTTTTTAACGTGTGGAAATCCCCTCGGACCGTCACCCCTCCGGGGTTTGCGGCGGGGTGGTGTGTCGGACTCGGACCGACTAAAACCACACGGTGTGCCACTCTGCGCCTGTAACAGGAGGGATCCGGGAACAGCTGTTGTTAAGACATCCGGACCCCTCCTAGCGCCAGCCCGCTCCTGGTGCGGGCTCCGTCTCAATGTTTTTGTTCCTCTCTTTAGGCGACGTCCGGCACACGCGGACGCCGCCCCCTCGCGGCTGGCCAAACTAATGCGGGTGGAGGGGAAACCCACCCCGTCCATCCGCGGCCACACTCAGGGCGGCATGAGGCTGTGGTAGGCGGGCCTCCGCCGCCCGGTTCGCCGGCGGCGGATCGGGTCCGAGTGGAGGTCGTCCTCCCGGGCCCTCTCCGCCGCCTCCTTCCGCGAGATTACTACCTCGCAGAAGGATGCGACCGCGGTAAAACAACTGTCGCTACCGGCCATGGAGCGTACTACGGCCGGTAGCGAGAGATCCACTTCGATGACTGCAGTGAGGGCCCGGCGCTGCGCCGCCCATGCTGGGCAGACCGCCAGCGTGTGCTGGGCCGAGTCCTCACTGCAGTCGCAGTGGTGGCAGGCGGGACTCAGTTCCCTCCTAGCGACGGTGTGCAGGTACTTTCCGAAGCAACCGTGCCCGGAAAGCACCTGCGTCAGCCGGAAGGAAAGGGTCCCGTGCTGCCGCCCTGCCCACTCGGCGATGACCGGCTGGAGAGCCTCCACGGCGGCGAAGCCAGCGCGTGGAGTCTCCAGCCGGAACGACCAACGAGCCATCGTGGCTCGGCGAGCGGCTTCGCGCCACTCGCGCACATCCTCGGGCGGAGGGCGAAATCCGCTCTCCGCCCGACAACCCCCGTTTACAGCCGTCTTGTCGCGACGCTGGGTCCACCCATATTGGGCAAAAGTCGCCCTAGGGCAGACGCAGCGCCGACCAGCTTTGGAGCAAGCTGTCGGAAGTGCTCGTCGAAGAGCCACCTCCCGTCGAGGATCAGGCCCAGATATTTCATCTGGGCCCGAACCGGTACGAGGACCGAGTTGACCACGATTGAGGCGCCAGGGGGTGGACCACGACGGGGCCCATGAAATAACAGGGCCTC